AATTTCATTTTTTTTTGTTGGCAAAAAAAAAAGGAGGGTGGACCACTCTCTCTCGGGCGGGAAGAGAAAAGACAGAGAACAGCCACACCCAGAACAGTTTACAACAGCTTTTATACCTTTTTGTCGTCGGGAAGCATCTAGGAGGAGAGCCACACACACAAGTGTGCCCGCCTTCCCAGGTTGTCAAAACATTAGCTTAAGTAGCATAAATTAGTAGTCAAGTTTCTAGCCCTCACTTGCTCCGGGGGTTCTTCATATTGTTACCTAGCTTGCAGAGGATGTGGTTGCATGGTGTGGTTAGAAGCAAGAGCAGGTGCAAAAGTTCATGCATGCTCAGGAAATGCATCCAGGAGCTCTAAAGCGAGACATTAGCTTAACCGCATCTTTCCATTTCCTTTCGCACCTCTACATACTCAGCCTAGCTCTTATAAGTAACTTTTATATGCTTAGCACCTTATACCTTTTATAAGATTCCAACTTGCAAGAGCATTCCCAGTTTCTTTAACTGACCTTCCTATGTCAGCAGAAGCTTGAAGTACAGAAGCAAAATAGGCAGTTAGTCTAACCATTCCTTACATTGAGAAACACTGATTTAAGGAAAAAAGTAGAAACTTCTGAATGAATGTGCCCTTGAAGTTTTGAGCAGCTCATACCACTTATGAAGCTGGGATCCTGCTTTCTACCTGTTGCATCCAGTGGGGAGCCTTCAACTTCCAGGATTCCCAATTGGGGACCACCACAAAGAATTGTGGATGTTGGGGGGTGCCCAGATTGGGGAAGGCTCTACTGCTGCTTCGGTACAGGCAGGGGTGGGTGACGAGGTGCCTGCATCCAGTCAAACCTGCCTGCCACACGTAGTAGGAATGGGAGCTCAGAGGGAGCAAAGAAGAGCGCAGAAGTCATCTGTGTGCTTCAAATATGGAGAAGCAAGGCATTTTAAGAAGGATTGTGTCAAAGCTAAAGGCCAGGTTTACCAAACCAGTTCAAAAAGACCTGAATGGGTTCAGAAGAGTAGCCTCAGCCCACCAGAGTTCAATGTGGAGGCCGCCCAAGGGGAAGCTGAATTGGAGAGTTATCTCCACAATTCATCTTTCCCTTGGAGAAGGCCATGCCCTCTGAAGTACACATGGCACCATGTTGCTTTATGTATTCCCCTCTTCCTTTTCACTCTGAGATATGGGAGACACCAAGATAGGGGTAGTTTCCCCATTGTGGGTGCTCCTCAGTTTGTGTGATGGAATGCTTCGATGAAGGCCGTGCTCAGGGAGATAAGCATTTCCTTAGCCCCCAGCAGGAGTGTGGGAAGGTGAAGAGGATGAGGCTGGCACCACCCTAAGGAATTTGCGGTGTTTTGGCTTGCTGGCTTGGGAAGTTTAGATTCAGTCT